CGGACTTAAGGATGCCCAGGTTCCGGAGGCAAACAAGGAGCAAATGTGGGCAATAATCAAATTTAGCTGCCGTTTGTGCATTACGTATGACGTATGTAGACTAGAATTGGTTTTTTGTTTAAATGCAATGGGAAAATAATAATGAAGCAATCAGGCAGCCGGGCTCAATCCAGCTCATGGGGATGGGCATGGCGATGGGATGGCTCGATGGCCATTATACTAATAATTAATTGAAATAATGCTCTCTCCCCTTTGAGTCCTTTGAATAATTACACACACTCACTCACGGAAAACTCTTTCTTTTTTCCCATTTCCTTGGCGCTCCACATCCGTCCACCTGGCCAAACGGAAATCAGGTCATCAAACCACCTGGCTGGCAGTGCTGCAATGGACACGTGCTCTGCAATAATTGCCGGCAGTCGGTCCGTAAAGTGTCCGGTGTGCCGGGTTCTCTGGGGCCCAGGGGCCGCTGTCTGCTGTCGGACAAATTATTCACCCTGCTGGCGGAGAGCTTCCCCTGCGACGGCGGTAAGTGCTGACCGGCTTTCGAGGACGTGTATTCGCGACTTTTATCTATTTAATCTGCGCGGAACGATACCCGAATTAGCCTTGTCATTAGGCAACAGCTGTCTGTTTCTGCCAGCTTCGGGACCTCTGGGGGGTCTTCAAGGATGGCAAAGACAGAGGTGGGCATTGGGGGCTTACTTCTGTCTTTCCTCATCATTTTAATGAATTCCATTTAAAATCCCTCATTCTTTATTAACCGGATTTAATTCAGGTTTCAATATGGATTAAAACTTTTTGTTTAAATTAAAAGTAAAGGGTTTCTGTTGGTTTATTTTATGATTAATTATTCAATATCAAACCTATATTACTGTCAAGTTAATTACTTTATTCTAAAGAATTCGCGTTTTCTTAAACTGTATTTCTAGTCTCAAGAACTCACGGTTCTATTGCGTTCGGTTTCCTAAAACAAAAACATTACCGCGAATTCTTCAGAACAGTGTGGCAAACGTTTCTGCGAGTACAGTTTTAATATTGTATGTAAGTCCCGAAATTTAATTCATAGCACAGCGCCTTGAAATAGTTTAATATATATTCGATTGTCACAAAAATTTAATATTTGAATGGCTACCACTTCTATGGTTAAATTTCAAACTGGTGTCCAATGACTAGATATGACCTTTGAAGTGGCAACCCCTTTCGAAAGCTTTTTCCCCCACTATGCCTAAATATGTCCTGTGCCCATTGGCAACATCCTGTTTTTCGAGTCCTCATTTAGGTGGGCTCAAACTTTCCGACAACGGCAAGTGTCAATGTTTCACTTAAATCTCAGCCGAGAGTCGGCGTAATGAAGGAAAAATGTGACGAGAAAGCGGAGCCGAGTCAAGAGTGCTTGAAATTGAGCGCAATGGCTCATCTTCGCTTGTTGTTCTTTTTATAGCATAATTATGTAACATAAATTGCTAAAGTTTTCCGCGCTTTTCTTCCGCTGCCATCTAGCCATCTTGCCATCTTGCTGGCATTGGCGTTACTTGTGCTTGGCCCACTGGGCGGCTTCGTTTAAAGTTTAGCCGCCCTTGTTGCCATTTTCAATCTGTGTCCGCCAACTTAACTTCGAGTGAAGTTTACAGCGGAGGTAACAAGCAGCAACAGAATTTTCCGCCGTTGTCTGCATTTGTTTTTCCTTGTTGGTCTTCATTTTTTGCCACTTTTCCCCACTTCGGGTTATTTTTCTTTGTTTTCCCAAGCTTATGCTGTGCTTAGTGCGTTTTTATTGCTTCTACATTAAGTGTGCATTCTTTATGTTTCGCCGAGATTCGCCCATGGCTGAAACTTGCATAGATATAGAAGTAGGATATTTATTTACTTTTTTCCATTTTATTTGTCACTTGAACTCCTCCGTCAAGAGTTAGGGTCTGCCTAACGAGCGAAAATGTTAGAAAACTTGGGAACTGTGCGTGGACTTGATATTCTGGCTGTATTTATTGTATTTACCTTTTCTAATGGCTCTTTCCAGGGAAAAGCAACCAGGTGACTGCGGCCCAGGGCCATCAAAAACTGAGCAGCGTCAACAAGTGCACAAATGAATATCATAATCAACCGAAAATGGCGTTGGCCAAGTCGAGTACCGGCAAGTCGAAGTGCGGCAAGCAAATCTCCAGGCAACTGGCAGTTTCGGTGGACCAAACCGAGTGCCAAAGGGAAATGAAGATGGTGCCGAGGAAAATGCTGCGGCCCCAAACTCCCAGTGAAATCAGGAGGAAAAGCCAGGAGGCTGTCCTGCAACGTTGCACGCTGATAAAAGTGCAGCACCAGGAGACTGCCGAGCACTTTTCGGGGGGAAGGTCACAACAATATGCTCGTTAAACCAAAGTTAAAGTTGAGTAAGAAAAGTTGGCGGATTACAGGGCGAGATCAAGACGGATTGCGCTGCGATGAAGTTGCCTCCATGAATAATGGTGGGCAGGTGGGCCAGCCGGACGACCAGGAGGTGCTGGAGGAGCAGGAGTATCAAAATTATCATTGCCCCACTGGGAAATCATGCGGCCACAGTTACCAACTGGCCAACAAATTGTCAACAGTCGCGATGCAGGACACCGCTGTTGGGGATTCACTAGGTGCATCCTTATCAGCGGGGAGCCATAAACAGGCGCATTCATCCGGAGTAAATCAGGGAGTGACCCCCGCCGAACTGGAGGCGGGGTCAATAGGTCGACGGGAGTGGCAGCTGCTGCGCCATTTGAGCGGCGACCATCGCCTGGCAGTGTTGCAAATCTACGGCACGTTCGGCGAGCGGTTGCACGTCCGCCCCCAGCTGCCCCAGGAGGGCGTGGCCTGCCTGCGGCTGAGCGAGGAGTCCTCCTCCTCCTCCGTCTCCTCCTCCGCTTTTGGCCACGTCAGAGTGCACACATTTTTCTTGGCTGTCATTGCAACCGGCGGCGGCGGTGGCGGCGATGAGTACGCCGTCTTCCTGTGGCACCTGGACCACCTGCAATCACCGCAAGAACCCACTTTCGAGGCTGTCATCGCGGCACAGGGCTTCCCGTTTCGGGGACCTGCTCACTCCCTCCGCCGCAGCTGGCCAGAGATTAGGGCCTCCGGCCAGTTCCTCACCTATCGCAACCTAGCCGCCAGCTTGGAGGTGACCATTCAAATCAAGTAGACCTCCCCAGCACCCAAGACTGGTCCCAAAGTATAGGAATAGTAATAGTATTAAAGCTAATTAAATCTAAGAACTTTAAGCCAAGACTATGAACTGATTTTTCTGGCTCTGCTAAAGTAGCTACAGTAGTATAGTATAGAGCAAACCAAAAGGCAACGAGAATAAAAAATTGTGAACTGTATGCTTTGTAAATTATATTTGCATTTTTTCAACGCGCGCGTATTTATACGAAAAATGCAAAACGCAATTTGGAAATGTGTTTAATTTGCAATATTTTTAATTAATAAAAACATTTAGAAAAGTGCTGGCCTGGCAGTTTGAAAGTCGTGGCAGGTGAAAGGTGAAAACGGGCTCTATGAACCTGTAGATGCTCTATAAAATCTAGGAACTTTAATAAAGGTATGTATTTATAAGTGTGCTTTTATCAGGGGCAGCGATTCTTTTGATATATAATCCTGTTTTTTTTGTGGGAAACCCATTGCAAGAGCATCTCAATTTCGTGAGTACCTCCTTTTGGTGCAAAAATAATTCTGATATTTGTACTGAAAACCGAAAACCGACAACAGCAACGGCGATGGTAACCAGCGCCTGTCTGTTTGCTGCCTCCTGATAATTGACTTGCATGCAAATTAATGTTTTTTGCCTCCTGCAAAAACGCGGGGGCGTAAATTGCTGCCCTGTCTGACAAACAGTAAACACGGTCAATGCAGCGGCGAGTCATTTTCATCAACGCGGCGCTATACATAAATCTCTGCACCATCGATGTTTACCATATTTAAGGAAAAAATTCCAATTTGATACAACAAAAATCACAGCCCTGTAACAACATGTGTGCGCGGCAAATAGAGCAAGTCTGTTTTATTATCCCCACTTCTTTTTTTTTTGGCTTTGTCGATGTCCTGCCTTTCCACACTATCGCCTGTTTGTTTTTGATGAGCCATCATCATCATCATCATGGTCATCTTATATAGTGGAACTCCAACTGCACTCGGCACTGGCATACAATCGAAAAAGTGTGCATAGTTAAAATAAATTAAATATTTTCGCAAACGACACTTTTTTCAACGCGGATGATGAGGAGATGATCTGAGTGAAGCACGGATAATGGCGGTGACGTCACAGAGATTGGTTATCTTTGTCGGGGGCGTCCATCAGGTAAATTAAAAATATTCCGGCGCAGCAATTAAATTACGGCGGACTCGGTGGGAGTGCAAAATAAGCCCAATATGATGAGCCAGTCAAAATGCAAATTTCCAGAAAACAATTTACAAGACAAGCGTCACCTTTTTTAGTGAAAACTGCGGTTGCATTTTTACAGAAAAAGAAATAATTACTAATAAAAACCATTCTATTAAAATATTTAAAACTATTATATATTGTCTTTTTCTGTTTTTCGTAATACCTAACATTATTAAACAACAGCATTGGTTTAATATATTTCTGACAACATTCAGAAATGCGGTAGGTCAGCCACTTTTTCATGAAAAAGTGAAAGCATTTCATCATGAAATACCCTTGAATTGCTGATATAGCACCCTCATATGATTATATGTCTATTAATAACCATGCCTTATCTCTTTAGGATAAATTATGATTATATGTCAATTATTTATCAGCTAATTGGTTTGCCTTAGAAAACTGAGGGAGCATGGAATCGAAGATAAACGAGGGTGCTACTTCCCCTTTATAAGTATGTATTATATGTATGCTCTCTGCCTTCCCCCACAAACTCATTCCGCTCATTTTTCTCGAACTGAAGGTTTGCTTTGCCCTGCTTGTTTGTTTGCCAATTAGTTTTAATCGAAGAGCGCTCGCTGGTTCTCCGCTCGCCAATCGCTTGTTTAAATTGCTTTTCTAATTAATGCGCTGGGCAAATATTTGCCAGTGCATGTGTTGTAATAAAAAGAAGCTCCGGGTTCCCGGTTCCTTGTTCTTGGGCTACTTCCATTCGATTCCGCCTTTCCGGCGGTCGTGTCGCGCGTGCTATCTTATAGATAGACTCAATTCTCCGGGTCCGTCAAGTGGTCGATTGTGTATAGCTCCTCAGTTTCAGACCAAGTCTCTTTGGCCCACTGCCATTCTCTTTGGCTGTCAGTTTGAGTCAAGAACAGACGGCTACGTCATCGCTTGATTGCGTCAGCAGTCGCTCTTTGCCTTTGGCTTTCATATTTTTTCATTCACTTCTCAGTCTGTTTTGTTTTGCTCAGACATTCAACAGCCGGTCGCCATGAGCAGCGATTTTGGTAAGCTAATTTATCAGTGTTTCTAGCATTTAGCACGGGCGGCTCTCTATTCTCACATTCGGCGTTAATTTACGAGTTTATGGTTAATCAATTAAATGCCACTTTTTGCTGGAGTGCCAATAAATAAAACGTGTGCAAATACAGTCCAACTTCCATAATATAATCCAGTGGAAAATAAACTCTTTTGTTTATTTTTTTGGGTTGCCAAATATATGCTAAATATTTTGTTATTTTTTACTCAACTTGGGATTTATAAACTATATTTATTGGCATAATTTTTGTTAATGGTCTATAAAATTAGTGGCCTTGACAAAATCCACTAGAAAAATAACTCTTAAATTTATAATCTTCAGATTGCCAAATAAATTTTAAATCTTGTATACTATTTTACTTAACTTAGATTATTAAAATCAGAGCGCTTTTCATTAATGGAGAATATTATAATAATTTTGATTACGTCAAAAAGTTCAATTTTTAATTAACTAAATGGTTGGGGAGTAATCTAGTTTAGAAAACGTTTTAAAAATGTTCTATTAATTGGATTTATATTTTCAAAATTGTTTAAAAAAAAGTAAAATCTTTTTAGAAAAGGCTAAAAATGTAAATTAAAAATGTAGCCTATTCAAAATAATTTAGCTATTTGCTTTTACAATAGTATTTTGTAAGTCCTATCATATGCAAGCAGATTTTCAATATATTTATACACCTTCAGATGTAAAGGACGTGGTGGCGGGAAGTGATGGTCCACCTTTGCAAGCCTTTCGAAGCAGCAACCCCTTTGACGAGTCCTACGATAATTTGTCCTCCCAGCAGGACTTGGAGCGGTATCGGGATGCCAATCTGACGCCGTTGCACATGCTTCGGAGGGCCAGTGAAACGGTGACCGCCAGCATCCTGGAGCCCGAAAAGGAGCATCTCCTGGGCGACAAGCCCCAACCCCCACCACGCAGCCATGGAACCTCAGTCCAGAGTGCCTCCGAAGGTGAGTAACATGTTTAATTGTGCACCGTCGTCATGGAGAACTCAAAAAATGCCGAGTCGAAGCAGAGCGAAAGTATTTGTTCCGGAAATTCTTGCCCTTCTCCACCCATCCACTCTGAGGTACAAATATATGCATGCCAGGGAATTGGACTGGTACTGGCAAAAGGATGCTGTGGAGGGACAGCTCTATGCCAGCGCTTTGTTGGCCAACCAAGCGAAGTGGCTCCGACAGCCAAGTGCACAATGCGTGCTCAGATATGCACTTCAGCACATATTCATAGTTTGTTTATGCAAAGTTGTGGTTTTTGTTTCGCCGGCGAAGGAGGGATCCTGGCTAAATCACAGCCCGTTCTCTGAGCTGGCAGGATCTGATTGAGGCATTTCGATTTTAAGTGAACCGCACAATCACATCTTGGCACAACGGGCGGTGGCGAATGCGGCGTATACGTAATATTTCCGCATATTGACGCCAGAACGTCTGCGATTGGCAGCCGAGAAGCTGCTGTCCCGGCTCAAACTCAAACTCAAACCCAGGCGTTTCCTTGGTTTCCCTCTGGCCAGTGGAATTTTTCGCAACGCTGTTGTTGGCCATGTGTGCGGAGGACCCTGCTCTTGGTTCTGGCCGGGTTTTTGTTTACGCTCTTCTGTTTTGGCAGGTGGTCGCTGCTGGTTTTTCGCCCTCAAACAAACAGCTATTATTGTTGAAAGCCCCCGGAGTTGCAATTGTTTTGCATCTGTCCAAATACGGGTTTTACAACGGGGGGGAGCGCGGGCTTTTGCCAACTTTTGCCCAAAACGAAGGGGCAAAGGAATAGCAAAAGGATTTCCCTTTGGGCCATGGCCGCTGTGGAATTTTCACACGAATAATGAGCCGTTTTAGTTGCGCCCAAATGCCCACAATCAGACAGCTAACACGAGTGGCAAAAGCCCGCGGCCCTCGGCAAAGTATGTTTCCATGAATATGCATTAGCCGGGGCTCATTTCCTGTGCATTTCATTTCGCATTTCGCATTTGCCACTTGCTATTTGCTATTCGCATTCGCATTCGCTTTGCATTCGAGTTGGGCCCTCGAAGGCTGCACCACTGATTCCGATTCAGATTCTGTTTTTGATTCCACCAGTTCTGGTACTGATTTCGCCTCTGACTCTGATTTGACTCGGGAAGTCATATTTAAATAAGTTTGCGCACCGCTGCAGGCTGCAGTAATGCTCGCATGTGCAGGCACTCGTTTATATTAAATAAATTCCATTTAAATGCAGCGTCTCGGGCAATTCCTCAAGCTCAACCTTGAATGGTGCACCAAAGCCCACCCATCAGCCCATCAGCCCACCTGCCCACTTTTCACATGTCGCTTCTGCCTGTGAGTGAAGCGGCGACATTTCTGTTAACTAAAGCCAACATGATATACGCTTGGCACACAAACATTCGCTCGGCTATTGATAAATGCAGTGCATTGCGCATTCGCCCCGTGCGCCCCTGTGTGTGTGTGTGTGTGGGTGTGCAAGTCAGTTCATTACGTATACGCAGTGTGCGACATTTATAAATGCCAGAATGGCTGTGACTCGGCATAATGATTTCCAAATGAATGGCAGAATGTTAAGCGTCACGAAAACCCTTTCGACGCCATTTGAATTGACACTGGTGGGAATGCTGATGCGTTTTGCCCAACAGCATATCCTTTTGAGTGGCTCTGAAGGATCTGGCACTTGCACTTGCACCGCAGCTAATTACTAAAACTGCGCTTAATCGGAGCTTTCCATTTCACCCATGACCACCTGCCAGACTTTGCCAGCGGATTTGTTTGGCGCGTTTTCAATTTGTCGACTTATTTGCCAAGCGTCATTCAGCCGCTTTATGACCTGATTTTTCCTACGACTATTTTTTATTACGTTTTGCCCCGAGCCAAGAAAGTGCCAGTTTCCACTGATTTGCGATGTATGAGCACTAAATTAGATGCGAATCGCTGGGGCGTGAGTTCATCTCTGCGCAGGAAGTGCGTGACAACGGAATGCAATCCTCGGCAGAAAGAAATTATTTTCCCACTGCGCGCTATGTGGAGTTGCAAGTCTGAATCGCAATCGGAATCGGGATTCAGGACGCGCCAAGGATGCCGGCTGGCATAGTTAAAAGGCGGTACGCTTAAGTAAACATAAATAAAATAAATGTGTGCTGCGTACGGGCAAAGTGATTTGATATATGCTGCAGACAGAGAAGGAGTTTCAGAGTCAGACAGGCGGAACTTCAAGTTCCTTCAAGGTGGAAAAAAAGAAAAATATGAAGGAGAAAGAAGAAAGGAAAAAGAAGCAGGAGCAAAAGTCATCAACGTGTGCAATTTAGCGTTTAAACATATTGAAAAAGCACCTGACGTTCGCCTGTAAATAATGAATAGTTGAATAACTGATATAAATCACCGTAGATACTAGCATCCACACCCCTGCCAAGCAATTTATGGCACTTTTTGCCCTGCACTACTACTGTCACGACGTAATAACAATCTAAATGTTAAGTGACAGGCAAAAAAGTTTTGCAACTTCGAGAAGTGCCATAAATTCTCCATCAGACCTTAAAGAACTTTTTCGAATATCTTGTTGTTTAGTTTTCGGTCCGACGTCGTCCGGAGAAGTGTTCGCCTCGCTTCCAATTAACACCTCAGATTCGCACTCGTACGCAATAGTCCGCACATGACAGCCGAATGACAAAAACTTTGGCCGGAAATGCAGCTGCAGCCATTACTTTTTTCCATCCTGGGGAGCAGGATCTTCGCTTTTTTGCGACCAGTGGCCATAATTTGTGTGGAAAGTTCTTCGGCAATTGAAAAGCGAGATGCTCGCCAGCCAGGGCCTTGGCTTAGAGGAACTTTTGCATTATTTTCGTGCCTGGTCACTTGAAAGTTGCAGAAAATATGACAAGATAAAATGCCAGAAAGTGCCGGCGGCAAGTGGGCGGCGAGCGGCGATAGGGGGCGTGGCACTATCCTGGGGAACTGAAACGGCAACTGCCAAAGGTAATAATCAATGGGGCGGCCAAAGAAGCCTTAATGACCTGCCCAACTTGCAGTTCAAGTTGGCACAACGGCTTCTTTTTGCCGCGCAGCAAGTGCAGCGCATGAATATGAAATATGAAATATCACAGCAGCGAAAAGACCTCCGAAAGTGCTCTCTTACAATACCTGAGCGCTATCTTCGCTGACACCTTTGCGCAATTTATGCACCATTTTTTTTGCAAGGCAGCGACAGAAGCTGGCAAAAAATAAAAGTAAGTGCCGCAAAAACTTTTAAATGAGGCACATAATTCAAAAAGATGGAGAGGAAATCTTGCCTCCGTTATCGTTCCACTGAACATGCAACTTTTCCCAGTTTATTTTGTTATGGCGGAGATATTTTAAATTAATTAGCAAAACTTAAATATTTGTTGTAGTTCAAACGCGAACTTCGCATTGAACTTGTAAATATTCAATGGGCTCGCAGTCATAATGAATTTAACTTAACTGAACCGCACCGAGTCGGGAGTTTAGCCGCGCTGAAATGGCAAATATTTGCAGGGCGTACATAAGTTTCCTGTTGGTTATGGGCTAATTAATTGATAAGCAAATGCTCGTAATCAAAATTGGGCCCCGGGTCAAATAAGTGTTTATTTTGGAGAGCAATGTTCCGCGGAGTATTACTTCCACAACTATGGAAACAGCCCGGGGCTTACAACGCACTTTAATCAGTGGGAATACCATATAACATCTTAATCATGATCGGTTTCCGACTGCTCTTCGGATTAGCACCTCCAACACAGGGTTCAGTGTCGATTCCAACTAATAGTCCCATCCATATGTTCTCATTATCACACACGGGTACTCTCTCACTCTCCATTTGCTCGCTAATTTTAAATTATTAAACAAATATTTTGTGCGTTTCGCTCGCGTGCCCACGAGAGCGTCTCGAACTCCTAGATATATGTTTTTTATTAGCATAAGATAAAAGGTATATACGACAGAGGCTGCGAGCTTTCCATAGAACGTTTCCATCTCAGTTGGCCGCTGCCTTTGAACGCGATTAGTCGGTGTTTTGGCATTCAATTTGTGCGGTTCGGTTATGAAAAGATTTCAATAAAACTGCAATATCCATCGAGTGGGAGTGTATGATGCCAGTGAATATTGCTAGTTCTATGAGTGCTGTGGTTGAAATAAACTAATTTATTTACCCGCTGCCCAGGTAAGCCCCAGTAACGTCAGGGAAGCCCATAATTTCCCGACTTTCATCATTCCGTTGATTGTTGGGAACCACTATTTCTATTAGCGCTCTGGGTTTTTTAGTTCGTTATTGTTTTCAAAAAGTGCATAAATTTAATGTTTTGCTTTCAGCTTCCGCGTTGCCAAAGCAGATTACTTTATTATTTAAAATGAAATTATAATTAAAATTATTTGGTTTTGATGTGTAGCTGTGAAGAGAGGAAGCGTTACTCTTTGTCGGTGATTATTTTGATTGCCGGTGTTTTGAAACGCTTATTTTCGTTATCTCTATCAGACAGTTGTAGGCATCAGTTGTGGTTTTATTTTGTTTATTTTATTTTTATTGTTGTCCAGGAAAATCAAGAATTTATAGTAAAAGTCTCACTTGACTTCATACCAGTATCAGTGCTGCATTGCTATGCATTCCTTAATTGGTGTTTATATATTTTTGAGAATCCGGGTATTCAGAATTTGAGATTTATATTGTTTCAGTTTTATTAAAATGGAAAAGATTGAACTATTTTCGGTATATTGTGCAGGCCTAAGAGGGATTTAAAATCGATTTATGCAGTTGGTTTTATATTTCTTCTCTTCATTCTTTTTCTGAGAGAATCATAAAATTTAAAGTCAAAGCATGATGGCCCATATCCTACTTGACTGAGAATCAATATAAAATAAAAGCATTTTTGTGAATTTTAAAGTTGGTATTTTTGTTGTATTTGAATATTCAGACTGTGAGATTTGGAAAAGTGAAATAAAAAGAGATGTATTAGCATACAAAAATTCTATGAGAGGGACTTCAAATCAAATTAAGTAAATATTTCATTTGTGGTTGTAATAATTCGAACTCTATTAGCTGTGATTACGCATTCACCATATAGATTTGTGCTCTCTGCATTATGACACCCAATTAGCATCGGCAATCAATTTAGCCGTGTGTGCCAAAGAGTCGTATGACGCGCTGAATCACAATCGACACGTGATCGATGGACCGATACGCAAACAGCGAAATTGTCACCCCGAACAACTGGAAATGGAACTGGAGTTCGCACCGGCGAGAATTGGCGCTAAATATTTGCGCACAATTAACACGTAGCCATTCGAGTGGTGACAAATGACAAGCAGATTGTCTTCTAAACTCAAATACAAACATGGCTAAAAAGGGCAAAGAATCTGGAATCGAATCAGAAATCAAGTGCTGATTGCAGGGCCTACGGGATAGAGACATATACAGAGTCGGCTGTGCATAATAATTGGGATGAGAAGGGGATTGTAAATTCTTGTTATTAGAACGGCGCTTCATATGCAAATATCAGTCTCCACTCCAATTAGCCGGCGTGGAGGCGTCAATTGCTTGGAATGGCTTGGATTCGGATCTCCATTCGGATTCCCAGAGAACCGACATTAAGTGCGCTAATTATAAATGGAAATATTTATGTATTTCCTAGCACCTAGCACCTAGCGCCTTTCTCAACCTGTGAAGTTGTCGCGGCAACAATGAAGCCAATTATGGAGGCGACTCTCGCAAACCGTGCACCTGTCTGTCTGGGCTCGTCCTTGTGCTCGTCCTGGCCCAGGTGAAGACAGCTTCCTGCCGGCAGCGGTGTCCTCGTGCTCGTCCTCGTCTGTGCCTCTGCCTGTGCCTCCTCGGCGCAATCAACGGTTGTCAATCTTTGTTGCAATCTTCATTGCGCCATCGCCTTGAGTGGTGAGGAGCTTGTGTGTCTGCTGCACTTTGCAATTTAAACGATCCAACTGCTGTTGGGCCTTCGTTATGCATGAGCAGCGGGAGTGAATGCCAAATGGGCTAAATGCAGCTGCTTGGCGCTTATAAGCCAGTCAATGGTCCTACTCTATTTGGTTTCGCCGTTAAAAACACGGCAACAAATGTATAAACAGGAATTTTTAAAATCAATATACCTACATAAAAACCCAAAATTGTCCGACATCTTTTAAATTGTGTTATTTAAGCCTAAAAGTATGCAGTAAAATATTTACGCTTTCTTTCTAAGTATAAAAATTATACAAAATATATTGTTGCATACTTTTCTGTGCCTGTAATAATTATTTTAATTTATTAGTACTTCCTGGGACTTCTATATCTTTTGAGCATCCTTAGAGTAACCAAATAAGGTCTTTAAGAATAATGCCAGATCCCAATGGCTTTCTTTTTAAGGTATATGAACTCCTCCCCATTTTCTCCGAGTGCACTTTCCGCTGACATATCTATTAAGACATTTAAATCTGTTTGCCACTTACAGCTCAGCGCAGCAGACAACAGCAGCAGCAGCAGCACAACAACAGCAACAGGGTCCTGGCGCCAGGTGACGATATGACACAAGGAGCAGCGCCCCAGGACGCGCAAGGCGACATCCCGGCTCCCCGCCCGCTGCATACCAAATTAGACATACAGAAAATCCCAGAGGATGCGGGCGGTGACGCCGCACAAAACGCTGCAACAATAATTTTAACGCCGACATCATTAAATTTAACAAATACAACACAGAATGTTGCCGGCAACAATGGGGGAAACTCCAGCAACCCGACCCCGACCCCAACTGCAGCTCAAACTCAAACTCAAACCCAAACTCCTGGCGGAGTCCGTGGCGAGGAGTACAAAGGACCCAAATGGTAAGTGAAAAGCTCATGTGGCCGGCACTCCGGGTTTCGCTGGGCTGCCATTGTGCGGATTTGCGCTTAACCCTTTGAATGCACTTCCGGCGGGACAGCAGCGCCGCCATTCACACTTGCATTGCACGCGTTTTTCGCATATCCGTTGGCTGCCTTCTCCTTCGTTTTGTACACTGTATTCTGTGTACTGTATTTCGTATTTCGTATTTTGTATTTCTTTTGTTGGGATCCCCAACAATGTCGTCGTGGAAGTTGCCGCTGCACTAGGCAGCAGCGCGTGCTTCCGCTCTGTTTTGGGAATGGGATTGGGATGGGGTCCTGTTACCAGGCATATCTCATTCTCATATCCCCCGACGTCTAGTCGCTGGCGAGCCCGATTTCTTGTTCCCTTTTTGGCTGCGACACTTAGTTTAATAGCTGGCGAAATGCCTTGTTGGCTGCAGGCGTTTATTCTCCATGTTCACAACAACGCGGCGTATGAGTTACAATGTTACGTATCCGACCCGTGGGTGGGTGCTACATTGTGGCTCTGCAGCAAGGGTCTCACTTTACTTGGATATCTTCAGCAGCAGGGCGAAGAAACTGTAGGCATTGTTGATAGTCTGCCAAAAGTTATGGGTTAAAGGCTTTGATATATATACGGTACTTAAGAGGGTTTTATAGTTCCGAGAGGATAAAGGATTGGATAATTTAAAAATATTACAATACAGAAATTCCTTTGGAATCATAAACACCTCTTGCTAATTTCACCTTTACAAAGATGGGCAATCCTATTTCAAAGAACACTCCAGCTCGCACTTTCACCGGTCGCTTGAGGAACTCCATATAGCAGTTGAGCAGCTTCCGAGTGCCCACGGAGTACTCCAGCCAGTTGGTTCCGAAGACACTATTGGTAAGAGAATTGGCATGGAAGGTCAGCTCATTGCCGTAATAGCAGGGCAGGAAAATCTGAAGGATCATGACGGCCACGAACTGTATGGTGGTCACGAAAAGTCCGGGGCGCTGTTTGAAACCCATATGCACCAGTCGATAGGCACTGAAGCAGATGATAAGAGCACTAAAGACCACCTGAGATAGGACATAGGGCGAAACCAGGACTTCACACTGCCTCGTCAATCGTCGGACTTTTGCGTGAAGTTGGAAAATGTTTCTCAACTCTGGCTTGGCCTTTTTCTCGGGGGCCGTTTTCAAAGCCTCCAGGCGCATCCCTATCAACCTATAAAGCGAGGCTATCTGGAACATGAAATAGCATCCCAAAGTATCCAAGAGGATATTGGATAGGCAGCACAAAGTCATGGCCACCACATTGTAGCTCCAGGCGTAGAAATATCTCTCCTTGGTTCGCCACTCAAAGGGCACGTAGTATCCGAAGGGCAGCTCGTACTCCTCTTGGAAAAATACGCTTATATATCCAGTTATAGCCACAAAAAGGCTGCCAGCGATGTACCAATAGAAGATGCGTTTAAAACTTATCTGATTTCTCTGCCAGAATTGAACTTCTTCCGCATTGCGCAGATTATAGGCAGGATCGTGTTGTAATTCGTTGATAAGGTTAGCTGCTTCATTGCGTCGAAGCCAAATATTCAGAATTTTAGTGACCAGGGCCAGTTCGGCTATAGACATGTATAAAACTTGTCCAGCTTCCTCGAAATCAGATGAAGTGATGGCCTCATACCACATGAGTGCTATATAAGTAAAAGTAAGCGGCAGGTGCAACACGAAGGGATAAACGCGCTTTAGCCAGGTTAAAAAGTAATCTTCTTCCTTGTTTTCCCATTTCAGGAGTCCTATCCATCGTTGAATTACCAACAGAGATTGGATGGCACTTAGACGATTCGTAGACTCCATTTTCAACAGCTTAATTTTAATATACTTATTGAATAACCTACAGAATTTCCGGCTTTTATAACCTTGTAGTTCCAAAAGTCCTTATAGGTCACCTTGGTGATATATTTTTAATAAGGATGAACTAGGGAGGTACTGTTGAGCTTGTTCCCACAGGAACTGACTTTTTACATCCTAGTTCCTTTATAGTCTTTAAAATTATTACTTGCATCATTAAAACCATATATATTTGTTGGTTATTATACTGAAAGTAAGGAACCGGTTCATTTAGGAGCTTAGTTCTCAAGTTGCTCCGTCCCTGAATTGTTTAGGTAACCAACGAAAATATTTACACAATTAATAAGCACGGCAATTACAATAATTAGCTTGCTGACATTAAAATCTATTAATTGTTGACCGTCACTAAATGTGTAAGTCACGCAATAGAAAGCAAAGATAATTGGAGAAATAACCCCATCATTGTTGTATGCATTCCCGAACTCCAAAAAATTTGAATCAGTGCATGGAGATCTGACCAGCAGAAAAGATGTCTGATTTTAAGAGTCCTAATAGGTTTCTGACTTGATGATACATTTTTTTAAAATAAATATGTCGAAAAAAAGGTATACGAGTCGAAAACGAATTCATAATTATTTATCACTTTTAAATTCTAAAATATTTATTTAATTGTTACATAATGCCTGCTATTATATACACAGATGCAAAATAAATTTGAAGGCCAATAACCAACTACACAACAATTTTTCAATAAAATGAATCTTTAGTTTGAAAATTATAGTTTTTATTTTTTTTTTCAAAATGAAATCTTATTTAAGATTACAATAATACAATATTTCGATATATTTTACTTTTATATATTACGTATATTTAATCATTTTTATTTTTACAATTTATTTCGATACATTCAATAATAGAGCGAAGAAACTGTAGGCATTGTTGATGGTCTGCAAGGTCAAAGGAAAGCGCTTTAGAGAAGAAAACATACACAGGGTAAAAAGTATGGACCTTAACAAAAATGGGCAATCCAACGGCGAAAAAGTTTCCAGCTCGGATGGTGACAGGTTTCTTGAGGTGCTCCATATAGGCAATGAGCAACTTTCGAATTGGTGGTCGACATTGCAGCCAATCGGTGTGATAAACTTCATTGGTCAGCTGGTTGGCATAGACGGTTATTTCATTCCCATAGAAACATGGCAGGAAGATCTGCAGGACCATCACACTGACGAACTGCAGCATGGATATAAACTGACCGGGATTATCCCGAATTCCCACGTGCTGCAGGCGGTAACCACTGAAACAGATGATCAGGGCACTCAGAATAATCTGAGATAATATATAGGGTGAGACAATTTTCTCACAGCTTCTTGTTAATCTGTGAAATTACAGTAATATTATATGAGAAACTTAAGTTAGATAGAAATATCACCAGACCTTCGAACACTCTGATGTAATATAAAGATGCCACGCAATTCGTGGCCAAATTGGGCCTCATCCTCCATATTTTTAAGACCCCTCAATCGTAGGCCAAGTAGACGATATAGAAGAGAGATGTGGAACAGGAAGTAGCATCCCAGGGTGTCCAAGGTGATGTTCGAGATGCAGGTCAGCGTCATTCCAGCCATATCGTAACCGTAGGCGAACCAATACCTTCTCTCATTTCGCCACTCGAAGGGAACGTAGTAGGCGAAGGGCAGTTCATAGTTCTCCAGAAAAAGCACCCCAGTACATCCGCTATATACCACCCCAAACTAATTAGGATGTAGATGTAAAAGAACCACTTAAAGAATCGTTGCTCCCGGCGCCAGAAATCCTTCTCCTCCTGCTGGCGAAGTTCGTAGTCAGGAGCACTTTGTAGCTCCTCCATCAGCTGCCAGGCTTCAGTCCTATAATGCCAAATGCTCAGGATCTTTACCACCAAAGCCATCTCGGTGATGGACATGTAGAGCACCTGGCCAGCCTGCTCCAAATCGCTCGAGATGAAGGCCTCCAGCCACATGAGTCCGATGAAGGTTATGGGCAGGTGCAGCAGGAAGCGATAGTTCTGCTTTAGGAAACCGGAGAAAGTCCACTCCTCGCCAGCTTTCAGGGACCAGGGCCAGAGGCCAAACAGTTGCATGACCCGGAGAATCAGGCTCATGGATTCAATGCGTTCCTTGTGGCTTACCATTTTAGTCCTGGTTGTATTTTCCCATTGGCTGGCTGCTTTTATAGCTCTAAGTGGGCTCGGTAATTAGCAGCAATTACGTGTACATAATTTAGGGAGAGACACGTGAAAGGCTTTAGAAAGAAAGAGGTTCCTTAGTGTATTCATAACCTTTTTGAACTCCTTCTTAGGTGGCTGCATTTCCTGTCGCATTGGGTGAATACTTCTGAGTTGGTGGCCCTGCTGGCCATTTTCCTGGGCCTTTGGGCCATGGGCTGGGTTTTGCTGCCAGAATACTCGCAGCCACAGACGGTCATCATGCGCATTGCATTCCTGTTCGTGGGCGCCCAGATCTCTGGAATCCTGGTGACCTTTGTCAACCTGCCGGATATGCTGGGCATGCTCTTCTTCGGCGTGCTGTATGCCAATGTGGGCCTGGCCAATTTCGAGGGCTATCAGAAGTTCGAGCTCTTTTTAAGGTAATAAATAAATAATTTGAGAAACATATAATGTGGTTTTCCCCACAATACAGGGAAATGGCCTGATCAACATCATGTTGCTGGCTGGCTGGGCCTGGATGGCGAGGCCTTTAAGCGGCTGTGGTTCATGATACTCCGCCTGACCCTGCTGCCCACCATTGTGGAGGTGGCGCCATCGCCGTACTGGCCTATCTCACGCTCTCCATGCCCTGGCTGTGGGGCATCGCTTTGGGGTGAGTGTGGCTAATGGAATACTTGGATTAACGGAAGGCTTAACGGTCCTGGTGGCCCCGGGGGTATTGTTACAGCCTGGTCATCACCGCCGTCTCCCCCAATGTGGTCGTCACCGTGATGCTGAAGCTTAAGGAGGATCGCCTCGGCCTGAACAGCGGCATACACACGCTCATCTACGCCATGACCACATGCAACGATGTGGTGGCCATCTTCATGTTCGGCGTGATAATCAGCGTAATATTCTCAACGAGTGCGTGCCACCCACCGTGCCCGGTAAATCGGGAATCGGATTCAGAGTCGGAATGAGTGTCAAAGTTAAATAAACCCCCACTCCGCTTACTTGCAGCATCGCTCACGCAGCAAGTGCTGCAGGGTCCCATTGGCATCGGGATTGGACTCGTTTTCGGCTATCTCTACGGCTCGATGCTCCAGTACTTGCCGTCGCGCAACGCGGTAAGCTGCCAGACAAAGGCGCGGACCCAGACGCAGCTCGTCCTGCGCGTCCTTCTCGTCCTGCTGCTCGTCCTCGAGCGGCTGCACTTAAAATGCACATTCAGTGAACACTTAGACACTCAATCAGCGCATTTAATGATGCAAAACGCGCGCCAGTCTCTAGAGAGAAAGGGAGATGGGTGGGGGTTGGGGGGGCGGTAGCTGTGCCATATGTACGTGGGGCTTCAGAAGACTGCACTCAGAATAAATAGTTGAAAAACGGATTGCCAGGAAAATAATACTACTGCCAGGGCCATCGACAATAAGAAAATATTAAAATATCCTTTCCAAAATGTAGTAAGTGTTACGTTTGCTAGTACCATAAATCATTTGGAATATTTTAAGACCTTAGAAGATAAATCTGTATTACTGAATCGGTTCATTTTTTAATGTTCTTATTATATTAAGTATTATTTTCATTTCGGTTGGATATGAGAAATGATATTGGTACTTTAAGTTTTGCCTTCTTAGGGCTGAAACATCTTGAATATAAGCTACCAATCCCAGACTTTGGACCCCCAATTTCGCGCAGTGTTAGCTTCCGCTCAGCCCCCCTGCTCGGTTGTTTGTGTGGGTGCATTTTGCATAAAAAGACACTTACATGCATAGCGGCAACGACAACGACAACGGCAACGACGGAGCTGGCGACATTTGCGACGACAGTTACTGCCAGCATCTATGTGAAGTTATGCCGGGGACATCGAGGCAGCCGCAGCCAGAGCCACAAAACTCATTGCCGCAACTTACACCGCTAATGGCGCGCATAATCAAACGCCATGGGTGGTGGTGCACTGAATGGGCTGCACCACCCAACCACCCAAGCCATCCCAACCGCCCATCCTGCCCCCTTATACACACACTCCCGTCGAGTTCTCATAACTTTTGTTTTCTGCAAGTCGCGCTCGCCTTTGCCATCGTCAAGTGGCATCCACATCCGCATCCACGCAGGGCTGCAGTTTGTACAAAAATTTCACGCTGAGCGCCGTTGAAGTTGCATCCTTGCATATTTTACACACCACCCCCAAAACCACCTCCTGCCGCCCATCAACCACACACACACACATACCATATATATACAGCCATGGGCTATTCGCTGTCACACCCCCAAGGGGGTTCAAATAGTGGGAAAAGGGCTCCGACAGGGGGTTCTGTCATCAGGCCTCGGTTTCGGTCTCAGCATCTTTTCGCATGTCATCGCCACCGCCTTTATTTTATTATTATTACGCAGTCCTCTGTAATTTTGCATTCAACGTCACCTTTTGCCACTTATTTTTCCCGAGCCGGTTGACAGTATTTTTCAATAAAATATTCGCGTAAAAGTTTGTAATTCAACGAGGTGGCGGCAACTCAAGTTGTAGAATTAAATAAGTACACCGGTGTGAGAGAAAACTTCCGTTTTTCCTATAAAAAGACTAGTAAGACCTAACGATGTCGAAGGCAATTTCATGCCATTTTACTAGAACGACCAGTTTAAAGTTAAATGAAAATATCTTGACAAAGGCGAGGGCGTAAATTGAATTGCAGCCATTTGCGGTGTTTCAACGGGCTATTGGGAAAGTCACCAGGTAAATTAAAAGATCCCAATCACTCTCAGCACCAGCCAGGAAAAACTGACAAGTTGACACTGCAGATATTACAAAATATCCAAAAATTCCGGCTGAGAAAACATTGTTGCAGGCGAGATTTATCAGATCTAAACCGTTGTAGAAGTCATTTTAGTACAATTTTAGAGCTTGGAAAAAAATGGTATATGCAAACAAAAACAAAGAGGAGATGGGAGGATAGGATAGGAGGGTTTTCCTGGTTTTCCTGGTTTTTCCTTGACTGCAGCACACGTTGCGTATACGCAGCTGACCGCACACACACACACAACACAAATAACACAGGTGGGCGGGTAAAAAAGCAGTTTCCATCAGAGTTTTGTAAGTGATTTCGCCTTTTTTGCCCGGCCAGCCTAACTCACCTGTTTTGCCATTCACTCTCTTCATATCTGTCTTTTTCCCATGCTCCGCAGACGTACGCAAATGGGCTCCGTTTCGTCCTTACCGTCTTGGGCGGAACCATCGCCGTGATGGGCAGCCGCGTCATCGGTTATACGTCGGCAGGAGCTCTGGGTTGTGTAACGACCGCCTTTATTGCGAGGATTGGCTGGCGGCGGGAGGAGGCCAGACTGACGCCCCGCAGCTGCAGGCCCAGCAAATTGTGAGTACTCCGCACTGGTAAAAATTGGAGGTCCCTTCTTGAAAGGAAAAAATAAAGGATTTGGATAATGGGATATGATAGGTTTTTTGATAGTTTAAATCATATCAATGTTGTATATTGAATACTGGTCTCAACTACCTTATTTGTTTCTAGAAAGGAAAAAATTAAGGATCTGGATAAAAGGACATACTAGGTTATTAATTCTACTTAAAGACCTATTAATGTGATAATTTAATACTGGTTTGAACTATTTTATTTGTTTCTAGAAAGGAAAGAGATTAGGGATCTGGATTAAAGGACATGATAGGTCATTAATTCTAGTTTAAGTCCTGTCAATGTGGCCTCAACTATCTTATTTGTTTCTAGAAACATTTCCTACAACCTCTGTTATTTTAATATTTTATGGTATATTTCGTTTATCCTTCTCAACGTTCAAATTACATATATGATAGGTATTAATCAAATCACATCAATTTGATAGGTATGTTAGATTTTTGCTTTACCTATCTTATGTAAAAGACATTTTCTACAATTTTTATTTTGTTTTTTTATATTTTTGAATATAAATCACGAACTTATTTTCTATTTTGATATTTATTCCATTTCAAAAATCAAGATCTGCAAAGTAAGCATGGTGTTTTTCCATTATTGAAATCCTACCAGTTTGATATGTTGAGTACTTGTCTCAGCCGTCTTATTTGATGTCTGAGATATTTGCTGCAGTTGTTAATTAATATAATTCTGAAAATTTTATGATGTTTTATTATTTATTAAGTTGAATCCTTCTTAAAGTTTATTCATCTAGAAGACATGGATTAGCAAGTTTTTCCCCAATATTTTTCTCCATGTTTTAAGGATCAGGATTGGTCCAGTCGGCTGGCTCTCTGAGCTCCAGACTCTGGCTTTTCCTCCACCTTTGAGATTCTGAGTGCTTTTGGGGTATAGGACCCACACGCTCTTTTCTTTTTCTGATTTGTTTGGTTTTGGGTCAAGAAAAATGTTCCCTGGCAGTAGTGCCATTTTTTATGTCTGTGCCGCTGCAGCCGAAAAAAGCGGCTGTATGTGCGGGATTTTTGCTAGGTAATTTGTGACATCACGTCCTTGTCCCATGTCAGAGTTGACTGCCGGTTCTCGATTTGTTTCGAGCAAGTGTTTTGTTCACTTTTTTTCCTTGGGTCTCTTCCCATTTACCTTTTGCCTTAAACTTTTAACCCAGATCCTGCGAAAGGCGGTGTTTTTGCACTCAACTGCACTTGAGTTCCAAGGCAACGCTCCGTAAGCCGATTGGCTTGCTTCCTGCTTGCTGGCCATTGATGGGCTGATTTAAATGGGGAATATAATGAACTAGCTGCCCGATCTAATAACAACTTATTGATTTCTCCCCCCTGCAGGCGAGTGTTCCCAAGCGTCTGGACCTCATGTGGAAGTTCCTCAAGCCCGTCTCGTTTGCCCTTATTGGCAAGGAAATTAATTTCAACGTGCTGCAGGGCCATGTAATCGGTTATGGCGCATTGTTGGTGCTCGTCGGAAGTTTGGTAATTAAAATGGTCGCCGGAGGCGTGGCCGGTGGTGCAACAAATGTTCGCCCCGGCCACTTATTTAATTTCTCTCGCTTCTCAGCCAGTTTGTGCGGGGAATACTCGGGTCCCCACGGTTTTGTGGGGTACGTCCATCCTGGTAAAACAAAAAAAAAAAAAGAAAGAAGAAAGCAGCAAAGCCAAGTGGAGATTCCGGATTGGGTTTGGGGGTGAACCAAATGAAAATGTTCCGGCACCGCAATGCAAATGTTACCTGCACACGGAAAACTGAGGGGAAAAAACCAGCTAGAGATGACCACTTTCTTGTTCTTGTTTTCAGTTTCGCCTGGCTTTTGCATATTTATCCACATATGGCGGAAATCTGTCGAGAAAGGAACGTGCCTACATTACAATTTCCGGTTTTCCCAAAGCAACTGTCCAAGTAAGTTTCCCGTTCCGCGTGTCATGTTGCTGCGGTTCCCATTGCCACTCCACCCCATACCCTTTTCCTACTCCATTTTCCATTTTCCATTTCCCATCCGTTGTCTCCTGGCCTGGTGGCGCTTTTTATTTCATTGCCGGCCATTTCACTCGCTTGCCACGAGCAGACTGCCCGTCGTCCTGATCGTCCTGGATGTCCTGCCCGTTCTGCCTGTCCTTGCTGTCCACCAGGTTGTCCTGGCCCCGGCCTGTCCTGGTGTTTTCCCCATGCTTAAGTTATACACGTATTTGCAGGTCATGTCCTCTTTCGGCCAGAGTCATCGCAGGTCCTGCTCCTGCGGCTGCAGTTGGCATGCCAGCCTTTTGTTTGCAGTTTAACCGCAAGCGGACATTTTGTTTATGTCGCCTGTGCGAGCGAGTGTGCGTCTCTGTGGTTGCCCCAAAATTTAAATGTTCCGCTGGCTTACTTACTTCCCAAAAAAGCTGAGTTGGTCACATGTGCGCCTGTCTAACTTTTCCCTAATATGCGGTGCATATTTCACTGTCCACCTTCCTCGCACTGATTTAATTAAAACTGCAAAGCGAACCGCATTTAATCCGAATCCGCTGCACAACGCACATATCACTCATACGCAGCGGTGGCCAGTGCTTAATTTTAGCCCTTTTTTTTATTTAGGCCGCCTTGGGTCCCGTGGCTTTGGACATGGCACGTGCTGCCAGCGTGGCCAGTGCGGAGCAGCTGGCTCTGGCCAGCAATGTGCTCATCATCTCGGTGCTGGCCATTATATTCACCGCTCCGCTGGGCGCCATCCTGATGCTGCGACTGGCGCCCCACTGGCTCAAACGTGGCGATGCCGTGGAGGCGGTGGATCCCCGACCACGCCCACCATTCCCAACGCCAATTCCTTCAAGGGTCCTGAGCTGGAGACCTGGAGATCTGGAGTCGAGTCGACCCCACCAGTCGAAAGTTTTAATCCATGCCGTACTTATACTTACGTGTACTTAGTCGCATTCGGTAATACGCAGTTCAAATAAAAATAAATGCGAAAAGTTGCCAACATATTTTCCTCAAAGGTTCCCTTTTCAATTCATTCCCAATCCAAAGCACCTTTTTTTATGGTCCCAAATTCCCAGTTATTTGCCTACTTGTCCTTAAATTTCAGCGAATTAACAAACTTTGGACTTAATCCTGCAGGACTAACGCCCCAAATGGGCAACTTGGCCAACTGGGATTTTATTGCTATTTTTTTTGCCCCCCCATGAAAGGAGAAGAAAAGCTTTTGGGCACCTAATTATGACTGGATCTGTGTTAATCTCGGGCTTGAGCCTGTGCTAATTGATTTTATAATTAATTTCGGGGGACTTAAACGATCCGCCGTGTCAATCTGGCCGAGTTTTTGTGTCATGTCGAATCAATCCGTATTAATGATTGACAATTGAACAAGCTGTTATTGCCAGTGGAGGCAGTTTGAAGAGGCTTTCGTCGAGTTGGTCAAGTAAATAAATGAACCCAAATGATTTCGTTATTTTCAAAGAACAGTTGTCGACCTCTTTTCCCCCGGTTTCCACTCCGATGTATTTTTACGCCTGCTGCTTTTGTGGCAGAATCATTTTGCTCCGAGCTTCGGAAAAAGCCAGAGCCATGGCAAAAAACACAAAATAATGGCAAAGAGGGAAGAATGGCATTTAATTGAAAAGTGATTGTGGGGCCAACCAGCCCCGTCGACAGGCGATGCAGAATTTGCAATGCAAACGGCTTAGAATGAACTTGATGTTCTGGCCGCCTTTGATGCTTTTGGTTTTTGTTGCTGCTGCGGTCGCCTGACAACCGATGGTACCGGGAAAAAAGGGGACATTTTTTCCTAAATTGTCACCAATTAGGTTTCGAAACACTGAAAGAAGTTGGAATATTTTGGGAATTTTATTTTGTTTGTAGCCAAAAAGAGAAAAATGTGTCATAGAAGTCCTTTTAAAAGTTAACCGAAACAAAGAGAATATTTCCATATTTTTCATACATAAGTTCCACGAAAGTTCTTTAAATTCTTTTATATCAATTAATTTTCGAAATATATTTTTTTAATTAATGGTATGCCATCGATTTTCCCCCAGTGTAATAGCTGAGCTTCAGCTGTGGCCGGATGAGTGAATGCTGAAAGGAATGAAATTAAAAGACGGCAAAAACGCAGCGAACGATAGAACTGAGAGAAAAACTTATCATTTTTATTATCCTGCAGCTGCGCATATTTATAACCGCATATCCCCGTCTCTTTCGCATTCGCATCTACCATTTGATAGCCCGTCCCATTCGCACCGCCATCACTATGCCATCACCATCAGTGGCCTTTGTGTGGCTCGAAAAAGAGTTGGGAATTGAAGGTAAATTAGTGTTATTAAAATGGCTGCACAAAAATAATTGCGCAACTAAATGAAAATTTTAATGAAAATTCTTTGGTTTCTTCCCCATTTTGTTGTACCTGTGCTTCAGCAGTTTTTTTTTTTTTGCTGCGATTGCGATTGCCTTTGCCCCTTTGCTTTCTGTTATTAGTTGCATTGTTTCCGCAGTTGATGTCCGTGCAATTAGCATAATGAAACCATCTGGAGGACTAGGATATTTGCGCAAATAGCCGTGGAAAAACACAGGAGAGAGCATCCGATGGCCGGCCAAGGGCCATAATGAAGTGCCGGAAAAGCCAGATTGGAGCAAAGCAATTACGCCGCCATTGAGTTATGTTCGCATCACATCCATTATGCTGCCACCGGCATAATCCTTCAAAACTCATTGCTCTTATCGCGGCCATTGAAATGCCAGCGGCCATAGATCAACCTTATCAGCGCAGCCAAAGCATTTTCCTGCGCCAAATAAATTCCAGCAGTTTATTATTCTAATTCGCATGCCGAATTCCGGCTGAAAAAGAACGCCAGGCACGTCAAGCCAGCCCACCTGAAGCCCCCAGAAACCACCTGAAGCCACCCAACCAGCCAGGAAAATATCCCACCCACAGACAGCCAACCGATACGGCGAAAAAGGAGTTGTGCGAGTGCCAAACGAAATCAAATCAAAAAGTTCACAAAAATGCCAGACCAACAGAAATTAAGTTATACAATTTTAAGGACTATGCGCAGTTTAATTTCCAAATGCCATGCCACCACCCACCTCCTGAACCACCCCGACCACCCAACTCCCAAAGACACACAGGTGGGCAGAGCAGAGGGGCTCGAGCTGAAGCGTATTGCGGTTTTTGTTATGCGCCGATTACCATAAAAACAAGCCAAAGAAAGTTGCGTCCTCCTTGTAAGTCCGACGTGGTCGGAAACGGAAATCAAGAAAACAAAAAGAATGGGCCCAAATGAAGTCAAACCTGGCGCCCGCTCCTTCAGTTAATAAAGTTAGTTGCGTTTGCCTTGACGGCGAAACTTTTGAGTTATAAGCGCGCAAATTATGGCTTACAACAAAGCCGAGAAACAAGCCACAATGCCGAACAAAGGAAAACAATTAACATGACGAAGACACATAAAATTTCCACTTCCATTCCAGGCTTTCTCCGCCCACTAGTTGGGTGCGTCGAATTAGCAGTTGTATTCGCTGGCTCGAAATGTGCGTCAATCACGTGATGGAGGGCGGCTCCAAGCCCTCCAAACCCTCCAGAAATCCACTACCACTTTCTCCAACCCCCAGAAAGCCGTTTCTTGTCTGCCTCTTCTTGTTTTGTTAATTTTAATACATGTACTTTTTATCGCTCGGCATTCCGCAGCAAGCTGCTAGCTGAATTAAGCCATTTGTTAGCTGTATCTGTGGTTTAGCTTTTTGGCTAAGACCTTCCCCTAATACCCAGTTCCTTTCTGGCAGAAGGCTATCAATGCCAGGGGCTACAGGTCACAGCACATCACAGTTATTTTCGTGCAAATGGCATATTTTTTATGGCTTGTCGCTGGCTTCTTGTTTCTCGTGTTGTAATTAGACAAAATTGTTGACTGCCACGACTCCGCCCAGTGCCCCGCCCACCGAAGGTAACCCCTCCTCCCCCCATTCGCGATTGTTCACTCGTTCAGTCCTTAATTCCGCCACTCATGTCTGAGTCCTGCGACTGTTGTCCTGCCGCTGGAGGTGTGTTTGACACTTGGCGTGTCGGGACAGCGAAAATATTATTCCCGAACAGCGACTACTCGCTGGGGAAATGCACTCCGAAAAATAAATTTAATACTTTTAACTAAAGAGCCAAGTTCCCTGAATTTGGGATGGTTTTCCTCTTTTGATTAGGTCTACAAAATAATCAGTTCTTTATGTTCTGAACTAACCATAAAAATGCTCCTATTTGTTTTTGAATCATTATTTACCAACTTCCTTTGGAACTCACCACAAAAATAAAAAAAGAATTAAAAATAGAGATTAAAGATCATAAAATATGATATTGGAAGCTTGTTAATATTGAAACAAATATTTTGCCACGAAAGTAGCTAAATTCAATACGGTTGTGAGTTACAGTAAATCAGATTATTAGGACAGATCTTGATAAACTCAAAAATGGCACATATTTAAACATCTATACATTCTCTAATTATTATGAATTATTTTAAAAACATTTATTTCCCACAAAACTTTTATTGGGCAATTCCAAGTGTTTCAAATTTTAATTCACTGATAAGGAAATCAGTCCACTCGTCACAAAACTCAGCCATTTGTTGTGACTGCTAGATTAGCGTTGTTTACACCAAACACTTATCAACTTTTTCACAGTGGTCGAACACAGGGATGATCTTTGGGCAGTTCAGCAGTTCATTGGGGTTTTATTGTGATTATTCAGACTATGCATGTTTATAAAAAATTCCACAGGTATACCTAATAATTATGCATTGGGCACGTGTCACGAGAGCCGTCGAATTACCAGATTTCCCGACAGCGACCACGATGGTCGGGCAGATAGCCCGGTGACAGGGAAAGTCGATCATGGCCACCATCATGGTGTTGACGGCGGGTTTTCCGGCGACTGGGGGTTCCGTGGTGTCTCATAGGCGCCAGGACCTGCTCCTCGTTCAGATCGACGCACTGGTTGGGTTGGCAGTGGTGGTCTGGTTGTTGGGACAGGTCACTCGGTGGAGGCAGTACTTCAAACAGGGCCTGGGAGCCGGGACCTGGGTGAGCTTCTTCTTGCACTTGAACTGCCCTTCACAGCCTTCCTGAATCGGGGGTATATTGTTGTTGAGGAAGAAGGGACGACGGGGCTCCTCCGTGGTTGTAGTTGTGGAGGTGGAGGGGAGTGGATGTGGGTAGACTCCCGGTGAAAAATCCTGCCCAGAATTCCGCCTGAACGGCGGCTACCAGCAGAGCGGCCAATAATGCCACCAGAATCTGCTTCATTGCCGTCTTGTTTGCACTGCGACTGTTGTTCGACTACGGAGCACTGCCAGTTTTCAAGAGCAGCGCGACAATCGGCGAACCACTCGCTCGATAACCTCTGACCCCAGAACCGCGGCATGCAGATAAACAGACACACACTACCCGCATCAGAAATACACTCGCACCCATAATTCCATACAGTTTTTCTTTCATTTTTGGTTAGCTTTAAATTGGTTTATCGCCAAATTGAATTGCATTTGAGGTAAGGGGCCATGGGTCGGGGGCCCCGCGCCTATTTTGGCAAATTTGACACAGGAATTGAATTATCTGCATTCTGTGAGCCGCAAAATTGTATAAATAAATATTAGTCAATTCGGTATTTCATACACATGCGTACGCATAATTTCGAGCTGCCATGGCCAACCAAACTGCCAGTTTAGTATAATAGAAAATAACCGGGGCAGGAAACGAAAATCGACACGAATTTCCAATGATAATGTCGATGGGCGGCTGATTTGTCAATTGCGCTTTAAGTGGATTTAATTGATAAGAACTATTGGAAAAAGAGCTCCGTTATTTTCTTTTTTTGACAAGGCCGATAACTGGTTGAGATTAAACTAGCTGCAAAATAAATGACAATCGCTTTTTTTATTCAATTTTTAGTGCTGGGCAAAAAATAGATTTTCAATAATTGGTGTTTATTTGAACACTTTTTTTATTGGATTTGTGTAGTTCAGGCTTTTAGATATGTCATGAAATTTTATTTCAAATAGTTTCCCAAAATCATGCAAATAAAATAAAATCTTTTACTACCAAATAAAGCGGAACTTGGGAAGTACAAAGTATAAACATGATTGAATATAGAATTTTAAAAAAAATAACTCAAATTCGGAAATAATTCAAAGATGTGTGCTATCGATTGATTTGTCTTTAGTATAAAGGAAATCCACATGAGACACAAATAATCTTGATTAATTTTCTGAAAGTGCCAATTTAATCTGTGGTCCTTAAGATGCCTAAGCAACCCAAACTAATGGATTAAACTGGTAACTTAAAGTAGCACTTTCCAAGAGCCAAGAATCCCATACCCCTGCCCAACTGAGTGTCATAGGAACATGGCCAACACGTCGAGAGCATCAGATATCGCTCATTATTGGAAACAAAGCGTCCGGCTGCCCTTCAATGGGCTGCACTGACCAGTGGCCAACAAAAGCCGGCTCAGCGCATGGCATGCTGGTGACTTTAGAGATGGGCCCTAATGAAGCGGCTCATTGTCGATGTGGGGGCGGGCACTCCTTTGAAATCCAGCAGCTGGCTCCAAACTATTTGAATAATTGATATTAATCGCTGCCAAGAGCTGTCAAAATTAATTTGTGATGTGTTTCCAAGGCCAGATTATTGATGATGATGATTATGGCCGGGCCGTAATGAAGGCACTGGCTAATGGAAGTGCTCGCTCTGACAATTGAGCCGTTCGGCAGTTCGACAGAAACGCTGAGTAGTTGGTCGAACTCCAAGTCTAGTTTGGGTCCACAGCGGCATTAATTACACTTGGATTTGGAAAATTGATTCGCTTCGGACGTGGCGAACTTCAGCCACCCGTCGAATGGATGGGAAATCGCTTAATATGTATTAACATTTATTGCCGGGCAAACTTTCCCAGCTAGGGAGAGAAAAAAGTAAAGCTAAGACAACAGCAGGCCGGAAATTGCCGAATGCTGATACTTCCGCCGGAAATAAGTTCAACTCTCGTTGTTCACGCTGGTTGAGGTGGCTCTGCCTGCCTTCCTTGGAGTAAATTAAGTTAAGGTCGCCGGCACTCTATCAGTCGATCGAACATGAAGGACAACGCCTACTGGGCGCCTTCAGCTCGTCTATCTATGGAAACACATTTCACATTTGTCGTAAAGGCGGCTTAATTGCCGCCCACTCGCCGGTTCACAGCACTTTGCACAATAAACAGATCATAATCTGGCTAAAACTATCAATTTCGAGCCAAACAGAAGGGAATATCTCAATCGCAGAGAGAGACAGTGGAGTAAGGAAAGCGACAAAAAACAAATGAAAATGCTTTACAACATAAAAACAAACTGGGGATTGGGATTCCGGGGCGACGATGGCAACGATGTGTTAACACTTAGGAGGACGAACGAGCGGTGGCCGGGTGACAATGAAGACAGCCGAAATCCTTCGATAGGTTCCCGGGGTTCGAGGTTCTGGAGAAGAAGGAGGAGGCGGAAGCTGACGACTGAGCGTCCTCATAGATTTACGCACACTTAGGCAGCGTTTACTCAGTCCTCCGACTTCAAATAGTCGTATAAATTGTTCGGCAGGCGCAACTGTAGCCCGGGCATTCTGTTTCAGCTGCTCTTTGTCTTTGGCTTTCGGTTGAACTGCTGTCCGGATGGAGTTCCCTGGTTCTTCAGCCATCCAGCTCTCCAGCTTTACAGCCATCCAAAGAGGGAGGCACTTCCGGGGCGTGAATGAAGTGCCATGTTCCCACGCTCACGCATTCGCCAAGTGCCGGCCGGCCCACATGTCGTATGTGTTTTATGTCCCTCTGTTTATAGGACTGTCTCTGTGCGCTCAATCGTTTCTGAGACACATTTATTTGCCCAGTCGTTGCTGCTTCTTTTGTTAGTTTAACAAATAAAATTAGTGCTATAAACATTCGTTGCCATGGCCTGGCTACGTGGCATCACAGCATTAGGAAAAAAGGGAGTTAAAGTTTTCGCCTTTAAAGATGTTAATAACCCTAAGGTATTTTTTCAGTATTTTCCAAAATGTTATATTTGGATTTTCACTTAATGGCAACCCCTTTAAGCCACGCCACTGGTCTTCTTTAAATATTTGTTTACACAATCGCAACTCTTTGCCACTTCATGAGTTCTTTTTTTCTGTGCCACCCACTTCCTTGGGGGATTTATTGCCACAACGAATCTGTTGGTATCGGGGGTTCGGGGGTCAAGCCAGACAAGGACCCAGCTTGTATCCCATTTCCGGCTGATGACTCGGATGTTTGTTTTAGCGGCGGCATTCCACTGTGCTGCAACTCTATCCGAAACACTGGCACATCGCAGCGATATTTGCACTGCCGATTCGGTTCAAGCTGGAAGAAATATCTATTAAATTTATTTTATATGTATGCCATATCGCAGCAAATGCATTTTGCGCACAAATAGCCAGCGGGCGGACATAAAACATAACAAAAGATGCTCAAAGGTAAACACAATGATAAACAGAAGATACTTTGGAGGAGAGAAATCAAGGTATAGACTAGGGGATATCCTATTAGTCATATATGATCTGAAATAAAATGTACCCCTTCTTATGAGAGTTATATTTATGTTCAATTATGTCGAAATTTAAGGATATATTTTGGTTGTATTTAGGTATCTAAGGGGTTAGCAATCCTCCAAACCTATAATCTCTTTAAATACCCGGCACTTTGTCTTTTTGATGACAATGAGTGGGTTGCTTTCAAGGTTCTGTCTTTTTAAGAGAGGAGAACACGTGTCCCTGGACCCTTGGAGGTGTCTTTAATGGCCTATTTTTGGGGTGCTTGTGGTATCGGACCCCAAGGCTAGACTCTTTCTTTCTCGGTCTTTGTCTATTCCCATGAGAAAGAGCCCTTTGTTGGCCATTAAAAATGGCAGCCATATTTATGATAGGCCACTGGTGTGTGTGATTATATAATTTCAATTTCAGCCAAGCCGGGCCAGTCAGGCACATGATTATAATTCGCTGTCGGACAGCCACTAAATTGCAGAATTCTCGCTAGCAAACGCCGAAACAAATTGCTGCGAATAAATTTTATTATTATCGCAATTGAATTGAATTTGCGATAAACGTAAAAATAATTCGCATGTTGCACATGACCGCAGTAGGGGCGGGGAATCGATACGGATTTGGATGGTCAGTGCGTCCTCGAAAATCTCAGCCAGCATGCCGTTTCAGCCAGGAGGATGGGAATACGAATCTGAATCGGAATCGGAATCGAAAGCGGGATCCGTAGCATGTTCCTGTGTGTTGTAATCCCTGGCAAAGCGATTATAGTTTTTGTTTGAATTTTGAATGTGCACACGGGAGTGGGTTCTGCAGTGCAGTGGCATTGAACGATCTGCAGTATTTACATTGATGCACTTTAGCCGCATTTTAATTGGATGCTAACTGGCACTCCTGCCCACATTTGGCCGATTAGCGCCCAATGGAGTCCGCAGTTACTCTATTTCCAATTCGAATGCAAATGTTTCTGGTCGTCGGCAGGAGGGCGATAACAATGGTTTAGGTTTATGCCCGCTAATTTCGCTGCCATGCGGTAAATGGTAATAAGCGCACTTTCGCCGTTCTACGAGCCATGATGGCCATGAACACAGCAAACTGATTGTTATTTATTTTTGTTTTTGCCACGGCCGTTTGCTCTATAATTTGTCACTGCCGCCGAGCCATAAAATCCGTTATAGATATGCATGTGTAGGGCCTAGAGCAAACAAATTGCTGTGTTTTATGGCCCTACCATGGACTGTGCTGAACTGGACTGGCTTAAAAGCTAATTACATTTTATTTGTGCAAATATTCGAGCCCGCTCATTAGGTTGGTTCCTCCCGGCCAACTTTCCACCCCCCACTTTCTACTTTCTCCGCTCTGCACTTGGCTTCACACTTGCCCGCATTCATGTAAAAATCGAGCGGCCATTCAGAGCTCAGCCTCACTTGAGTTCAATTAAAACCGCACTTGTACTTGTTTGCATAACAAACACACTCTCAGCGCACTCGACACACTCGGCCAACTGGCCAAGCAACCGCCACGCCCCCTCTTGCAGCCGCCCGCCCCCTTTTGGCCCACCATAATGCAAAACGAACTCAGTCAAAGGCTGAACGCAGTCATTGTTGGCCATTGTTTAACAATTAACCGCAAATTGAATGCAATTAAATAAATAACGGTGTTGATCCTTTGTGCAAACGATGTAGGCACGTGTACGCGTCGCCGAAGTCGCTCCTCCATGTCCCTCCATATATATATGGTATACTATATATGGTATCCAGAGGA